AAAAACGCGTATACGAATTTTCACTATCTGAGAACACAATGATGACACTAGCCCCTCTGTTCCATACCCTCATTCCTCCTCTCTCTCTTCCCCCTTTCAATTAAAGACAAACAGAACAGTGCCATTTCCAGAATCCATTCGCAGAAGAGTGATTTTCCTATTTCCCCGGATTTAGACAGAGGATACTAACACTGAGTCGACCCTCTACGACAAAGTAAGGAAATCATTTGTGCGTAGAAAAAAGGCTACCAGTGAAATGGAAGGGCCTAATTAGGCGCCGCTCTTTATGGGGTCACGCGGATGTAGTTGAGCTTAAAGCAAAGACGATCGGAGAAGCTGCCAGCTACGACATACTAAGAGCGAGAAAAGAGACTGCGTTGCAAGAGCAGCTCTTCCAAGCGTTCCGAGCAAATGTAAAATATAAAATGTGGTGGAGAATGTACTTACTTCTTGACAATTTGTGCGACATCCTCATCGTTCAGAATATGCTCCTTGCCTACCCTCTGTGGATTGTGCTTTGCTGAGCTTCCCCAGACATAAGCACTGAAATTAATTTCAAAATTAGAGAGACGCAAAGCAAGCTTTCTGTAATGGACGATATAAAATTTTGACCAAATTGTTCTGATAAGAAATGAAATGTTGGTGTGGGTAAACAGACGCAGTTAGATATCTTCCATATTTCACTCTTTAAGAAAAATGAGAACCGTCTGGGACGGCTAATTAAGAAGAGGATTTGCAAAGTGTGATTACTTCTCCAGCTGGTACTGCCTGCTGATGATAACTCCCACTCCCGACTGTTCATGAGGCAACGAGATTTTGTTTCTTCACTGTGCCAGACTGGGCCTACTTCTGGGATGTATTCCACAGGAAACCATTCATACCACATCAGATCTGTCGGCACCGCCTAGGCCTAAGAGGAGGAAAACTGGACCTTTAAAATGCAAAAAGTAGGATATCTGACTTCAAAGTATATCTAGCACGCATCGCTTCTTCAGGCGTACTTTTTGCCAAGACAAATTTTCATTATGAACGTTCTTTAAAAAATCAAAAAACCTACAATTTAAAATCTTTCTGAAGATTTTTGTGGATTTTCAAGCACAAATCATCGACCGTCCGTGAATCTGCTGGCAACACAATTGGCGTATTGTAATCAGGTAGTTGTCCTTTCGGTTTGGTATATCTGGAAGTAAAAGTCTGCAGTAGGACAACAAAAAAGAAAAGATATTTTTGAATTCTACTCCAAAATCGGTGGTGGACGTTGGGCGTTAGTGAATGGTATTCATAAAAAAGCGACTACGCTGGTAAGTCCCCGAAAAGATGGTACAAATATATCGAGCAAGCAGTAATGTGCAGCGCAAAAGCCGGTATAACTGTGTGTGGGTGGATCTTAGTACATTACTAACACAAGACATCCAAGCTGTTCTCATATTCTAAAAACAAAAAGAAAAACCTTTCAAAATTATCGAAAAAAGCGCCTTTCCCCTTCACTCTTACCCAACAATATCAAGAACATGTTTTTACCCACCAGAATTTGGTCATCCCTTCATCAAACCCAGGCTGGTACGCGCCAGGC